AGTTCACTCTTTCTACAATGTGTGATTCTAACATTTGCATTAAACCAGAGCATTCACTTACTTGTTGTGCCTTTGAATGAAAGAACTCCTGATGGATGCATGCAGGTTTGGTTTCTGTTTTCCTCCAAAGGAGACCTCTGGTGTGAACTAAAAGTTATTTCCAGTTTTTTTTTTTTGTAGACAGGAAGTAAAGCTAGATCCTCTTTTGCTTCTGTTGAGGGTGAAGAGAGGATTTAGTAAGTTTCTGAGAAGACTTCGCACTGTTTTTCTCTCTTCTCTGCAGTTTCAACATTAGAGCCAAGTGCAGGAATGGCTGTAGGAAATAAACTTTTGAGAGTTAGAGCTGGCAGAGGGGGGCGCTTCAGGTTAAGATGACTTGCCTGGTCTTTTCTGGGACTGGCAGTTTGCCCTGCTACTTTATTTAGGGAAAAGAAAAGAGATTTCAGTCTTCTGGACGGCCAAATTGCCATCTTTCACCAGTCTTGTACTGCACATCTGACAGTTCTTTAAAAAGGAACCCCTAAAACTCTCTTTGCTGTGATCACTGCAAACTAAACTAAAATAATTCACTACTGCTGTAGTTTTGAAGCTCCTGATGAATAGCTGGAGAGTTCTGTAGCAGCAGTCCTGAAGGAGAGGTTAGAAAATTACCATGTTCCTTCTTTGTATATATATCATAACATTTTCTATCACCACATGATCTGTGTTGGCAGCACTAAACATTGTGATTTGGTTAATTTAGGGATTTATGACTTTGTAATAATCTCTTTCACAACTGGTACTGTAGGAAGAATGGCTTTCTCTAACAACAGGGATGCCTATAACATGGCAAATTGCTGGTGCTGCCAGAGAAGCAGTTTATTATTTTGTTAACCCAATGAAGTGAAGCTGGTTTGCATTAGATTGTGCAGGGAACTAAAAAAGGTATCTGTTCTAAGTTCTGCTGTTATGAGCCCTCAGTGACCACCCACTGTAGCTGGTGAAAAATACAAGTATTTCCCATCCTAAGATGCTGTTCAAGGGGTCAGTCTGATGCCATCTATAACTGATTGCATAACATGCTTCCCAATGAAGACGTGAACAAATAGAATTTTTAAAAGAATGTTATTAAAGAGAATTTTATGTCATTTTTTTACATAAAATGTTTATTGAGGTTGCTGAGTGTATGTGACAGATGGTACTCTTATGTCACATCCTATCTTTCATTTTGTTTTGGAACATGCAAGTCTTCCATGCATGCATAATTGCATTACAACATTGTAGGGTTTTTTTTGTGTACTCATTGAAACATAAAAGAATAATCCAGTGTAGGATCTTTAATGGGGGTTGTACTAGCATTGCTGTTAAGCTGTTTGTTTTGGTGTTAAGTGCTGGCTAACTAGTATGGTTAATGATCTTTGCCTCCCTAAATTAAACTTCAGGCGTTAAAGATAAAAGGAGAAGTTACTATCATTTCATCAGTCTGCTGAGAGCATTCAAGTAACCAGACGGATGATATTCACTACATAATTCTCTGCATTATGAAGCAAATAAAATGAATAGTTCCCTCACAATAAAATAATGCAGGTATATATGAACTTTGCAGCTTGAGTATCCTTCAGATGCCAATGTCTTAATATTTTATCATGTACATTTAGTATCTGTATGATTCTAAAATTGTAATGACAAAAATATATTTTAATTTTTATTATATGTGACATTACTTTTCCCCCTTCAGTTAACAGGAGAGTGAACTTGATCCTGACTTCATTAGAATGTTGCCAACCTAACTTATATTTATATGGCATCCTGAATAGCTTCTACTGTCTTTTTATGCCTGGACTAGTGGATGGAAGTTAGACTCCATTGTTGCTTTTGGGCTACATTGGGCAAATTGTTCCATTGTAGTGCTTTTTTAACTGAAGAGTGTTTTGCAAAGAATGTAGAGATTATCTCTGTTTTACAGCTTGGGGAACTAGAAAAATATGTAAGACATACAGAATATGCAAAGCTAACAAGCCAGTATGGTGCTGGAAATTTTGAGTCTTATCCTACTTCCAGTTATTTTGACTGGTGATTTTCGCTGGTTCGCTTTGTCTGTAAGTACAGCTAACTGAAATTAGTTAGAGCATCTGAAATTAGTGAGAGCATCTTCCCTCATGATGCAACAGAAGAGAAAGGAAAGTTAAAGCCAAGACTAGTGTTTCTGCTCCATGCATTGTCAGACACTGAGTCCTTTGCTACCTTTAATAGTATTACAGTTGCATAAATTCATTTATACCTTCTTTTATTGGCTTTTGAACACAGTTTTCTAAAGGGTAATTGACTGAATAGCTGTCGCTGCTCTGGCTTGTGTAGATGAGTGTGATTTATGCTCAGGGCTGTCAGCTGACTATATTGACATGCTGTTGGTTGATTAAATAAGTGCTGAATATGACTGATTCTGGTCTGGTTTTGCAGTGAAGTCAGACCTCATCTTTGGTTCTTTAGAACATTGGTCAAGTGGACTCGTAAACATATTATTTATATTCTTTGTGTGTATTGTATACTTTGCAAAACTATTTAATCTTAGTCCTAACCTTCCAGCATTGCACTGTGTAATATTTCAGCAGCATTTGTACTTTCTTACAGCATCAATGTGCTTTGTCTCTGATGGAACTTAACTGATGTTTCATGATAAGGTAAATCAGCCATTGCAGTATTGGAAATGTAAAGGCAACTGTACTGGTAATGCCTGACAAGCTAAGTGTGCCAGCTTGCCAGGCTTGTTATGCTGCTTCTGCTGTATGAAGAGCGAAAGTACATCACAAACCAAGTAGGTTTTTTCCTCTTAATAGTACCAAGGTGTTGTGAGTAAAACTGCAATGTCAGGCCAAAACCTGAATTCCAAAAGAGGAAATGAGAGGTGTGTGTGTATCAACTTCTTTACTGTGTATAGCTGCAAATATGAAATGCACTGTGTTGTGGATGGTTGCTGTCAAACGAGTGATAGGATGTGATGAGACAAAGTAAGTAGCACGTGACTTACTTCATGCAACAACCTTCAACTTGATTTTTCATAGTTGCAGTGTACATTACAGAGTTTTAAAGCTAAAGAATGTATTATTTCTTTTTCAGCTTGCAGCATGGCTTTGTAAGCCAAAGTCTTCCAGTTGTTCATATTGCATCTCATAACAGGATATGCTCCATGCAAGTTCATTGTTGGGCAAATTAATTTTTAATTGATGTCACAAGTAATTGCTGCTTTCTGCCTGGTTTAATAACTGAACCATTTCTAGTGCAGTTGCTTTTTCCTTGCCACAGACATTCTTTGACAACATACTAATATGAAAAAAAGGCAATAAGCTCTGGTTTGTAACAGCCATGTACTTGTCTATAGCATTTCAGATTTGTGTTTATTAGGACTTAAACTTTATTAACACAGTGAATATAAATTAACATAATACTTGTTAGGAATTAAAGATCAGCTAATGAAAATTTATGCTGAGGCATCAACCATGTTAAAATTCAATTACAGTCTGATCCTTGAGATTTTCAGCATTATGTGCTACCATATCTTCATCTGAAAAATCTTTTGATTTGATTGAATAAATCTTGAATAATGTTCAAGTTCTTTTTAACCTTTTTGAACACTTCATTTTCTGCTGTTACTTTTTCTTACCAAAATACTGACATGAAGAAGACTTTTCACTGACATGAAGAAGACTTTTCTTTATTTTTTTTTCCAGTGAGTATTTTGATGATTCAGTATCTGCAAGATCATCATTAATCCCTTGAAACAGTTACAGTGCAAGTATGATGCCATCTAGTTTTTGATCATTCATGTTTCTAGTTGCTGGACTTTGTGCCATATGATGATTTTCTGAATGTGATGAATATGATGACCTCAGTTCTGGGGTACCAGTCTGTACCTTACCAGCATCTAAGTGTGTATGTGGAGAGTGCTCATGTGCTTGTGAGTAATTTTACCTGCTTGGTGGGAAATAATGCAGTCCTGCAACTTGGAGAATGATTAAGTGTAGAAGGCAGGTTTTTGTTTCTAATTTCTAATTCTTTGTGGCCACAGTGAACTACTTTCTGGAAAGAACATGCCTGCAAAGTCATGAACTTTGACTACCTGCACAGCATAATTGTAACAATTCTTGGACACAGGCCATTGCTGCAAACCTAATATGTAGTAAGAAATCAGCCAGCAGTGTGTAGAAAGCAGTGTGTAGAAACCAGCAGTGCAGCAGCAGCCTGTAATGAAGGGCTGAAACAGCAAAGTTGCATATGAAGAAGGTGGTGGTGGTGGGTTTTGTTTGGATTTTTCTTCTACCTCCACTCAGGTCCTTCGAGGTTCCTCATGCTTCCACCTTCCTTAGATTTGCATGTCTAGATGTGAAGCCTTTTGGTCTCCTATGCATCTGCATTAACAGACAGCATCTACCTTTGTCTACCTTTACCTACCCCATTTCTCCCTTTATTATTCTTAAACTTCACAGATGTGGAGGAAATTGCAGGATAACTAAGGAATAATAAAAGGATAGGTGTGCTGGATATGATTTCTTAGCCTGGGTGATAATATGTTATTGAACTGTAGCTACAGTCATGGTCTGTTCAGAAGCTTAATTAGATCTGTTACCCACAGACATCAGAGTAAGTCAGTGTGGCATTGTTACTTCCCCATAGAGTTTGAACCTGTGGCAGTGAGGTAAAGGTTCCTTTGCTGCCATTATGTCAGGAAACCACATGGGGAGGGAAAAGAAGGGGTAAGAGGAGAGGAAGTCCCTGGAAAGTCTGAGTCATGTAGCAGCTGTCTTTGTGTGAAGGAGGAAATGTGTGAAATCCAGGCTCAGAGAGTGGAACACCTGTACTAATTTTCTAAAGTAGCATTTACTTCAGCTCCTGGTGTTTCTGTTGGAAAAATAGTAGAGTCCCTTGGTAAATAAGTTGGGTCAGTATGCACAATATTTTTGTAGGTGTGCAAAGCGTTCATTTCTGTAACAGTCCTAACACATCTGTTTTCATTCTGTTTTCAGCTGTATCTCATTGGAGGATCATTTGGACTCCGTGAATTTACCCAGATAAGATATGATGTTCACAAACTACATGGCAAGGTAGTTTAAATGGTTTTCTTTTCCTTACGCCTACATGCTGCTTTCTATAGAACTGATAGGACAAGCAAACTTGGTATTGGGAGCTTGCCTTTCACTGCTTGGCCCTGAGCTACAGCTGAGTCTCATAGGCAGTAGGCAGAGTAGGTGACAATAAAGCGGCTGACATGATGATGAATCCTTTACCATCCATGAAAAAATCAACATAAATAATAGAAACATTTTGTTCCTTTGGCTGATTATAAGTGGCAATCCTGAATCCTGAGAAGGAAGTGCAGCACATCTAGAAGGAGGTTATTACAAGGATACTGTATCCAATTCAGACTAAGAAAACTGATATTTTAAAAGGTTCGGTTTTCAAACAATGCTTGGCAGTGAGCATATAATGTTAGATGGTTTCCAGGGCTTGGCTTTGCATTGACTGAGACAAGCAGGTACCTTTGTCATTGTGCTACATCTTGTTCTTTAAGCCTTGTGAAGGAAACAGGAGCTAGTCTCTACCCATTGTGTCAGAATATCCTGTGTATAAGAAGCCTTTTTTAAATGAACCTGAAACCTTCTGTCTTAGAGAAATGTTTACTAGTGCTGCTTACACCTCCTAGTGTAACACTAGTTCCAAATTGTGTGTGAAATGATCTGAAAGGAGCGTGTCAGTTCAGCAGAAAGTAATACTGGCTTGCTTTCCCTGGTTTGGTAATATGCAGGTCTGCCATTGCAATGCAGAGAGACTTTCTGGTCTCAGAGCTGCTGACTTGCAGGTTGCACAAAGCTGTGTTAAAGACTCTATCCCACTTTATAAAAAAAAGAAAAATGTGCAGGACTCTGTGCTGCAGGATGATATGTGCAGGATGCTGTGGCTTTCTACTGTGGTGAAACCTTTGAGGTCCTGAGCTGTTTAGAATTTGGAGACCCCTTTGTTTTTTCTTAGCCATCTGTGGACCATTTAAGTTACTTTAATAATTCTTCATTGTTCTCTGTGTTGCATACCTGGCTATAGCCTTCCATGCACCATGTGACCCAGTTCTGCTCAGAACTGTATATGGCAGAACCTGTAGACCAGGAAGAGTAATCTTACAAGTCTTTTCTCTAGTGCTGTCTTCTGGATAGCTTTTTTCTATCATTTCTAGCCTTTTAGGACCAGCTGGAGCCTTTCAAGTTTTTCTCCAACCAGATGGGGATCATAGTGGGGCAAGAATTTGCCTGGTGTGTTTCTGCTGGTTTTTGGGTCAGATTCATACTCAGTGTATTACTTTTGACCCCCATGATCTGCACAGTGACAGCAGCCCAGGGAAAAACACCGTTAATAGTTGTGTTAATTCAGATCTACAAGACTTGTCCCAGCATTTATAATCAAGGGAAGCATTACTGAATTACTCAGTAGTACATGAAAACTCTGAGTGGAAGCTCCTTCACCTTGAAGGTTTTAAACTCCAAAAAGCTAAAAGAGGACTTCTGAGTTGTGCTCTAACCAGTATTGCTTAAGTCTGCAGCATCTCTTTTGTGTTTTCTTTTTCTTTTCCTTGCATTTTTATTCAGAAGTAGAGGACACTGAAGTAAAGAACATTGCAGTATTGGTTCAGAGCTAGCTAGCAACACCAACTTTGGGCTTCTTTGTAGACGGACAAATCAAAGCAATGTGTTCCGTTCATTTCTGTTTCTATGTCCATAAAAATGGAGTTGAATGCCATTCTAATTCACTAAATAAGACAGCAAAGGAGACTAGAATGTGTTTTAATGGATAAAGAAATGTAATTTAAAATACATATGGAACTCGGGAGAAGAACATTAATATGAGTAATTTAAAACTGCTGTTAAAATCCTGATGCTTTTCTCTTATAACAAAGCTGGACTATTGTAAATCCTTATCAGAACAGGGACAGATGGACTTACTGGGGGGTTGGACAGTTACATGCAAAATACAATAAGCAATAAAAGAAATAAGTTGGTTTTTTTGTTACAGGTGCTCCTTCAGAATAATAAAAATATTTAATTAAATAACAATTTCAATATAGGAAGCTCAAAAGACTCACAGAATTTAAGTGAATTAAGGTTCATAGTTGTACTATCAGAAAAAGTAGAATTCTTATTTACATTTTACTGCTGAAAATACTGAGGTTGCACAAATCCTAAAGTGGGCTAAGATTCATAACACACAAGTGCCTGTCTTTTTTTATTATATTTTAAGGATCTGCAAACTCCAGTATGTCACCTTTTGTAAGCATGATTCCTGAATTTGTTTTCTTGCTAATTCAACTGCTAAAAAGACAAAAGTTAAACAACCTTTTGTGGTAAATCTCTAATACATTTCAGATACCAAACTATGATCCTTTGCCTTCAAAAGTACCTGTTCTTTTCCTTTTTCATTCTTAACTTCACACTGTGTTTAGAGGGAAACTGCATTAGTAATCAACTTCTTAGTCAACAGTGATATTCAAAGGCAGCACTACAGTAAAACTGCTGCTATATAGTCTGTGCTTGAGTGACTGAGGGGCTAGCTTTGGATTCTTGTGGCTTAGTGAAAAAAGCTGCATTAGTAATAATGACTATGTTATGAATATCAAACTGACTTTTGAAGAACATTCCTGATAAAGGTATTAAAATTCAAGAGAAAATGGTGGTTTGGACCTTTGAGGGAGTATGATTTGGTTGTGATGCCTCGGGCTGGGGCTAGAATTAGGCTTGGGACAGAGGCAGAGCCTAGAGCTATAGGTGGAGTGGGGCTGAGAAGGGGCTGCAGCAGGAATTGTTTCCTCTTGTTCGTTTGGGCTGTGTGTTGGGATCTTGGACTGCAGTTCAGCCAATGCATAGGATAGAGAGACAGAGCCTAGAGCTGCAGCTGAAGAGGAGCTGTTAGTATCTAAAGAGCAGATAATTCATCCATTTAGTTCATCTTTAAATATCAGGACCTCAGATATGCCCATCTCTTGCAAAAGCAAAAAACCGTTTTGGCTAAACTTTTATCTTCTCAGGATACCTAGATCAGCTGTATTCCCTCAGCACAATGAATGTCTGCATTTAAAGGAAGCTTAATGAGGCTCTTACTGGTGTAATGCCTGTTTACAATAGTCAGAATTCTCCTGAAACTAATCAAGGATTTCTCCATTATCTATTGTTGCCAAAATATCCATTAATGGAGAAATCATTAGGTTAAGTAATTGTTCACTTTCTGGGAAGAATTTATGCAAATCAAAATTGGTACAGAAAACCAGGTATGCTTATGGGAAAACCATGTGGAATTAACAGAGAGGAAATTAGTAGGTTCATATAGGCATTGTTCCAGATGCCTTTATTCATAAATAGAAGACTAGACCCTTTGTCTTTCCTCTTGTGTATGTAATTGGAGAGGTTTATTTATTTTATATCTTTTTACTGAAAATATAATTTCTATTAAATATACAGAAAATGTTTTTTCAACTGTATGACAGACAGTTTTATATACTGTGCACCCATTCCAGGTGTTGTAGAGACTTGCTGATTCAGATTTAGTTTTGGGTATAAGAATCTTGGAACATGGGGTGTGGTCTGTACTGCTGGCTAATAGCTACTGTAGAGAATTGAAGGGAAATGATATATTAACTACCTGGAAAAGCTTATGCTTTCACCCCATCAGCAAAGCTTTTAGAGTAAGAGAGTTTTTAAGCTCCAGATTGACTCTGTTGCAGAAGTATTGTTGCAGGTTCTCAGTATTGAAGGCAGGTTCTCAGACTTTTGGAGTGGGATAGGACTGAATGAGTTCCTCCAGGGTAATGTGCAGCAGAAGCACTTCGAAGAGAGCTGGATTCTCTGAGCTGTTTTGTTTGGAAACAAAACATCAATTAGCCTTTGAAGTCTGCAAATATTTCCTGCTGTGGGATATGTACAATAGTTACATACTTACCTCTTTACAAACTATGAAGATCCTGTTCACTTTGTCCTTTGCAAAGTGAGTACACCCCAAAAGTAGAATGCTAAGAAATAATACTAATGTTTTCTGTCTTAATGATGTAGAAAGTAGAGGCAGTAAAAAGTCAAAATGATAGAATTTCAATTTCTCCTCCAGGAGTTTTACTCTCAGATCAGTTGTTGTGCATTTAAATATGTATGACACAGCATTCCAGGAGTTAAAATCCAGATGAAAATGAAAGTGATTGTTTCATCATTCTCTATGATCAATAAACTGGTAAACCCAGAAAGAGTATTAAAAGAGTGGTAGTGGTGGGAAGCATACTCAGTAAGCACACTAGAAGTGTAAAGCCTGCTTTATGCAGACTGAAGATTTCCTTTGAAATTTCTTACCTACTGTTTTTGACCAGTTAGAAGATTATTCTGGAAACCTTGCTGTCCTTTGAAAAGTGAAAGAGAAAAGAAAGTTAACATGATCTCTTATGGCACTCTGACTTTTCTGGTTTACAGCAATTGTCATAGTGGGGCTTGATAGCGGAGTAAGTGTGTTGTCTGGTTGGTTATACTCAGGTTTAAAATCCTGCTGGTTGGTCCCTAGTGCTGTTCTTCAACATTGTGTCTTTAATCTCATGAGTGGGTGTCAGGAGACCCACAGCAGGTTGTGATTTAAATAACACCCACTGATCTCACTGGAAATTTTATATCCATCCTGTTCAAGTTCTCTCTCCAGTTACCTCCCGGACCGCAGAGCTCCTCTCTGCCTATCTCACTTTCTTAGTCTGTAGAGTATAGGTAATTAATGCTGCTCTACTTTACATAGGAAATAGGAAAGTTAATTAATTCAAATAAAAGGAAGCATTTAAATTCACATGAGTATTAAAAAATTTCCTCGGGTGAGATCCATTAATTCAAGTGTTCTGGATCAGGGTGAAATAGCTAGGAAGAAAAAGGAACAGAGAACTGACTGTGACAGAGAACTTCCATGAGACCTTTATGTCAAGCAAGAACACATCTGACATTTGCCTCAGGAAAGTGTAGGAAGTCAGCCCAGCATTTTCTCATTGTTAGAAGTATATAGTTAAGAGGTGGTATCTGCCCATTAGTATGATTTTGTGTTGCTG